AATACTCCGATGTCATCCCGTCCCCGGGTGAAGTGCTTCAACGCTAGAATCTAGAACACAATCTCTGGTCGTTTTCCTTGCGGACGGATAAACATATCGGAAGTCCGTCGCGATGTCTTTGACCACAAGTGCGTTTCTAGAACCGTCGGAGAATGAGATGATCGACAGTAATGTGATCACCGAACTTGTCTGCAACAACCGTTTCCGAACCTCCGCCTCCCTTTTTGTACGATGGTGGCTTAGTCATCTTGGCCCTGCTACAGGCAGTACAAAATGGATTCTTCGGAACATGCGCCAACAGATGAGCAAGCGACTTCACTTCGCTTCCTGCCTCAAGGCTTGTTCTCCGCGATCGCGCTTCTCAGGCGGTGGTTCGGGGACTAGCCTGGCATCAATGGCTTCGGGCTCAGGTGCTATAGGTTTCGGAGGAGCCTCATCAACACTAGATGTTGTTGGAATTGGGATATACGAGGGCTTTCCGTTCCCAGAAGCACCGTTCTCGTACTTATACCCCAGAGCTGTCATCGCGATACCATTTGTTGAAGGCAGATAAGGAACATAGTCTTTGACCCGCAATGTAATTTTTTCACCGCCAGGTTTCTTGAAGTAAGGATTGCCACTAGATGGCCGGACAAACGACCAACCTTGATCAACACAAAGCTGACCAACCGATTATAGCTGCCGGGCTGTCACCAAGCGCAGATTGGCAGTGATTCCCAACAATGGGATTTTGAGTTTTGCTTGATCATTCGCCTGAAAAACTCCGTTGGCTGTGAGAAGACTAACAGGCTTATTGGATTCAAAAACCTCGTTTCGTTTGACCATCTCACGTGATACTAGATCATTGGCACTACCAGTGTCTGCAAAGTCCGCATTGCTGTTTGTTGAATCTGAAAGCAATGTTTACAACCTATCTCGGAGTCACACAGATATCGACAACGTGCCTCGATGCCGTTCAGCTCATTCGAAACAGCGCGGCTCAAACGGTCAGCTGCAATGCATGCATCTTCGGATGCCATTTCCAATACTTCAGGATTCCCTTTATGGCCTATGGGAAATCTGACGCGCTTGCGTTGTTCACGTGCAGCACCTGGAAACATTAAAGAATTACCATGAACCACGTGCCTAAAATTTTCAGGTTCATCAACAAATGAAAGGCATTTCTCAATTCCACGTCCTGACGATGATGATGATGCTGATGATGATGATGAGCTCGTAGCTGGAGTAGCAACCATGGCCACGTTTCCCAACGGGCGACTGATAGTAGCGGACTGCGATGATGAGACTGCAGACGGTAGGACCAGAGTACGCAGTAGGCAAACAGCGGCTGGGTTAGAAGGAGTGCCTTTCCCACCTTTGGATTTCTGACTATCGCCAGAACCACCGGAGCCACGAGAAGTGCTTCTTTTCTTCTTCTCTTTCTTCTCCTTCTCCTTCTTCTTCTCCTTCTTCTTCTTCTTCTTCCGTTTCATCTTGTCGTCACTGGGTGCAGGTGTCGAAGAACGATCTTGATGTTTGAAAGCACAATTCTTTCCTCTGTGACAGTCCCCAGATTTCCAAAACTTGCATACCTCAGACCTGGAACCCATAGTCAACGACCTACTGCGAGAAGAAGATCTACCCAATCTACCCTTACCACTACCTTTGGACCTTCCTTTGCAGGGTTCACGGGGTTTCTCATGCTTGAATGGGCAGTCGCGCCTACTGCACTTACCTTTGTTCTGAAACTCGTAACAAACGCCTTTGGGTTTCTTGTCATTTGGATCAACAACAGGCGCTGCAGGATCTTTGCCTCCAAGACTGCGTTTCGTGGCATCCCTCATCTTCTCAAGACGTTTTCTTTCAAGGTATGCCTTTGCTGACTTGATCAAAAAGTCATAAGTCTTTTTGGCACTACCTTCCGAGATGCGTTCGTAGATTGCAAGATCATGACTCAGTGGTTTGAAATTCTTGACAGCAAGATGGAAATATGCTTCAAGCCGCTTCTTGTCAACCTCCGTACGCATCCCCGCAATGACAGATTCCCATCGGGCCACGAAGCCCTTGAGATCCTCATTGACCATCTTAACACAAATAAGGTCCTCAACATCGTAAATTGCACTGTGTCTGATGGATGTGGCGAAGTACTCATGAAACAATAAAAGAATCTGACGCGTTCCTTCACCTTTTCTTTCGTTTCCTTAAATGTGTTGAGTTGGCGAGCGGTCCCCCTCTGCACAGTTTATCAAACTCGAGAGAAGCTTCGCGTCCAACGTCGTGAACCCTTCCGAATCGTCCAAGCCCTTAGTGGTCACAGCGTCTTCGTAAACCTTACCTAGCCATAACCTGGCCTTGTCCGGCTTTGCGGACGCTGCAGACACGTTGTCCCGAACCTTAATTCGCCAGTCTCTGTACCTTTCAGGGGTTGGACTTGGGGATCAAAATTTTATCGGCCTCTTTGGGCCTCTATTCACGATCCTCTTTCTTCATCTTTTTCACATGTTTCCTAACCTTCCGGGCAAAGGACGAATCCCCAGAAGATGAGCTCGACGATGAAGGTGACTCGGACGGGGAAGGAGGCCCCTTTTTGTTTTTCTTTTTATGCTTTTTGTGGGGCGACCTACCACGTCGCTGTTCTTTGTCATCATTCTTCTTTTTCTTTTTATCATTCTTGCTCTTCTTCTTGTCATCCGGTGATGATGAGTCTGGAGAGCTGGGTGGTCCAGGAGGACCTCCGCCATCGACTTTCGGGGCATTCGTGCCACCACATGCCACGGTCTCACGATATGGATCACCGGAGCTATCCATAACAGACCTTTGCATCGCACAAATCGGATGTCCAATGGGAAGTTCATTTGATCCCATTGGACCGGGTAGAGAAGTTCTCAGATTTGCCGTGGGAACGGCTGGCTCAAAGTTCTGTCGAGCGGATGACTCCATTTTCTCTCGAAGTTCACGAATGAGCTCAGTGTGAGTTCTCAACTCTTCCCTATAGGGTTTCACGATTGTGCGCTTGTTGTTGCAATTCACTCAAATTGTGGTGATAAAGCTGAGATTCAGTCAATGCAGCGTTCTTCACATCTGCTTCACGTGCATTCATCTTAGCCTGTTCATTTGCAGCCCAAGATGCTGCCCTTCGCTCTTGTAACTCGAGCTGCTCCCTGACACGGTCCTGTGCATCGCGCTGAATCGATTCTACCTGCCTCTTGACTTGTTCATCTTTCTCGGACATCACTTCCCTGTGTCGCATTTCTGCAATTTCTGCGACTTCAACTGACTTATCCAAGTTGACATTTATCATTCTCTGGTCATGATGGTGGGCAGTATTGTTGATAACTTGTCGCGAGTCAACGTGTGAACCTGACGGCACAAAAGCTGGGCTCGTGGGAGACAATGTGACTGCTGTCGCAGGAATCGCAATCGGCATCGCATTCCCACGTGCTTCGGCCATTTGTTCATCCCCATTCTCTGAGGGAAAGATTTCCGTCGGAACATACGACTCACGATCTTCAGCGTCTCCAAGGCGCGACCTAGAACGATCCGTGTCCTCTCAAATCGCTGTCGAGGGCTTCCCCGCCATGCCACCTCAGGTTTGCGCAGTACCTTGGTGGGTCGGTGACACGGCAGTCAAAGGCGCGGACCGCTCTTTGGCGATACGGCTGATAACCTGAATTTACAGGCCAACAGCCTAGATGTACCAACATGCGAAGCACCCTTTTCCTTGAGCCAAACATGGAGGTCATATGAAGGTGTACAATGTGTACTTAATCGTGAAACTAATAATACATTTACTAGTCACCTGTTGAACATCGACTGTTTATGGTCAAAGGTCTTTCAGCTGAGGAAGAACATCTGGCTATCTGGCTATCCTGGTGGTATCAACAATGTAACACATTTACACTAAAGAGCCCAACATTGTCCACTCGCGTTTGTCTGCTTCCAACTGCAATGATTGATCCCTGCTCAGAATGTTGGTTTGCCAGCTCGCCTCCTGCGTGTACGTCGTGGTGGGAGGTGTGGTTGTGGTGGTGGGAGGTGTGGTTGTGGTGGTGGGAGGGGTGGTTGTGGTGGTGGGAGGGGTGGT